TTTTTAAAGATATAAGCTCATCTCGATATTGCACTCATTAAGAGCTTTCATTTGAGTACCCACACGGATTTTGGTATATTTTTCATACATACATATAATATATTTAAATATATAAAATATATGAAAAATTGATGTGGGTACTTAAATGAAAGGTCTCGATGAGTGTAACATCGGGATGAGCTTATATCTTTAAAAATGTCAATAGTTTACAAGATACAAGGGCATTTCTTAATTGTGTATCTAGAGATAGAACATTTTCGAATGCAGCTTAAATACTTATCATACACTGGCCACAAAAATTTGCTTATTCTCTTAATAATATAAAATTATTTCTTGCAGAAAAAGCAACAATATTTATATTTTTTCTTATAAGTATTTTTTATTCAATTAATTTTTGAGATAAAATTTTATATTCTCAAAAATTTTTAAGAATCTATGTTCTTATTTAAGAAATAAATTTTTTTTTTTAATACATTTAACTTAATTCAATAATTTTTTGTTTTGATTAAAAATATTGAAACACTCAAAAATTATTTTTTTAATTCAATAATTTTTTTTCTAGTCTAAAAAATTCAAATAATATAAAAAAAAATAAAATAGAACTTACCAGTCTTAACATCCCACAATTTCACAGTTCCATCATCCGAAGACGTAATAACAAAATGACTATTAAACTGAAGGCAAGTAACGGCCGACTGATGTTTATTAGGCCCAGATAATGTTTGTAAACAATGTCCATTAACAATATCCCAAACTTTAACAGTTGAGTCAGCGTTACCGGACACCAGAATATTGTTACGTAATTCCATGCCCGACGTAAGTGACTGATGACCCATTAAAGTATGACGACAGGCCCCAGTCTCGACTTCCCATACTCTGATACTGGTGTCCAATGATCCACTTACAACATGAACTCCATCGAACTAAACCCACAAAATTAAATCATTAATTTAATAATTAAAATTATAATTATTAAACAAGCCAACTTATTTAATTAAAAGCTACCTGAAGAGAATACACGCGATTAGTGTGACCCTGAAGCGTGTGCAGGCACTCCTCACGCTCTGGATTCCACACTTTAACCATATAATCGTAAGCACCGCTAACAACTAATTTTCCATCATATTGCACGCATCTCACAGCAGCCAGATGACCAACGAGAACGTGTAGACACTCTCCGGTATCTACTTGCCACACTCTCAGCGTCGCATCTCTGCTGCCGCTTACTACCTTATTACCATGAAGGTGCATACATCGAACCGTCGACGTGTGCCCGTACAGGGTATGAATGCACGAACCCGTATCTGCGTTCCACACTTTTAATGTGCGATCCGTACTGCCGCTTATTACTGTCGTACCTGCCATTTGGGAAGACCACACGCCTCCTGTATGACCCATCAATGTCCTCAGGCACTAGAATAAAATTATTATTATTATTTATATCACCACATTGGTTAGTATACAATTTAAGGAGTGAAAAATTTGATTAATATACTGATAAAAAAAAAAATTAACTTCAAACAAGACAAAAAAATTATTGAGTCAAGTGAATTTACTTAAATTTGTTAGTTTAAAAAATTTTTTTTACTAAAATTAAGAAGATGAAGTTCGTCAAAATTATTTAAAGTAAAAGATCCAGTTATTGACACTGGATTAGTTGTTTGATACTTGCAATTTTATTCTCATTTATTTATTTATTTTTTTATTGATAAACCCAACAGCTCTGTGGCCAATTACAAGGTTTTTTTAGTGAAATTTAGTGCCTTTTCAAGGTTTCATTTCATTCTCACCGATAGTCAATTTATTATAATAATTATTTAGGCTGCATTTGAAAATGCTCTATCTCTAGGTACATAATTAAGATATGACCTTGTTTCTTGTGAAATATTGACATTTTTAAAGATATAAGCTCATCCCAATGTTACACTCATCAAGACCTTTCATTTGAGTACCCACATCAATTTTTCATATATTTATATACATTATATATATGTATATATGAAAAATATATGAAAATGCATGTGGGTACTCAAATGAAAGCTCTTGATGAGTGTAACATCGGGATGAGCTTATATCTTAAAAAACATCAATATTTAAGAAAGTACAGTGCAATTTAACAAAACTCATTATTTAATGAAGCTAAATTTCATTTATTTATAAATGTGTGAACTATAAAGTTCACACATCACGGCAGTCACATAGTGACTGCAAGGTAGCTAGTATTTATTAATTTATTAAACTTGATTTTTTTTTTAATTAAAATAAAATTGCAAGTATCAATAATTGAGTCTTTTACCTTACTTGATTAAAATAATTTTTTTTTTCAGAGTATAAAAAGATATAATACCTTTCCTGTAACTGCTGACCAAACTTTGAGAGTATTATCATCAGATCCACTGACTATACGATTACCGGAAAATTGTAAGCAAGTAATTACATGCTCGTCATGTCCCTTGAGAACCTTTGGCGGTCTTATTGGCTTAGTTCGCCAGTTCATTTTAATACTATATTGACGCATGTAAGCTTGTTTCCAAGGTGAACTACAAATGCTATTACTACGATTGCTCTTGCGCTTAGTAAATGATACATCCTTAAGGTCTTCTATGCCCTCAGATCGGCACTTTTCTTTCCACAGAAGATTGTCATCGGCAAGAAACCGCCAATTTCTACATGTTTGGGCGGCGCGTAATAAATCTCGGGGCTCTAAAAATGCCAAGACAGACAAAGCGAGCTCTTTTGGTAACAGTGATATAAAATCCCGCTGGAATTGGGGCTCTATTACTTGCATCATGTGCCGAACTTGCGTCGGCTCACAGCATTCTATCAACTCATCAATGGCTAACATCCTTTCAGCGTTTGTCCATTTCTGAAATAAATTATAAAGAGTTAAATATCGTATTTTGTAATTACAAAATTTTAATAAAAAAATTAAAAAAAAATATTTACTTGGAATTGAATTAACCAGCTGTTCATTTCTGGCGGTGGATTGGCTCTCGTTGGTATTACAAATCTCACATGTTTCCCTTTATCATCTAATTTTTTAGTTATCCTAAACAAAAAAAAATAATTATTAATCTACATTGATTCATCATTTTAATTAAGGTATTACTTAGAGCTACAAAATCTCACATTATTTTTTCAATCAATAAAATGATATATTTTTCATTCGACGTGGCAGTAAATGTCGGTACCAACTTGGATTTATCATTAAAAAAAAATTAGAAATTAAAAAATATTTTGTTTTTAAAAACCCAGAGATAATTTTTTAGTAATTAATAATTAATTAAAATTTTTAAATGTTTTTCTATTGATAAGTTATTTATGAATGTTTATATTATCTTATTTAATTGATAATATATTTTTAAAGTAACCCAATCCATAATAGATTCTTTTCTTCAGTATAAATGATAATAATAAAAATGTATTTTCTTACAAGATAATTTAAATTTAGAAATTTAAATTTTTTACTCGACTTATTTTTAAATAAGTCTAAAATAAAATCTTGAACATCAATCAATATCATAAGGAGAGTTATATAATATTTTTTTTACTTTTATTTTATCATTTTTTATGATTAAAGTTTAATAATAAAATTATTTGGAGTATTAAAAAAAATTAAAAATAAAAAAGTTTATTTATAATTGAAATCAAGCAAAAGTAATCAATTTAAAAAAATAAAATAATAATAATAATAACTAGCAACCTTGCAGTCACTATGTGACTGCCGTGACTTATGAACTATAAATAAATAAAATTTTGCTTTATTGTTTAAATGACTTTTGTTAAATTGCATTGTACTTTTTTAACTATTGACGTTTTTAAAGATATAAGCTCATCCGATGTTACACACATCAAGAGCTTTCATTTGAGTACCTACAGGTATTTTTTATATATTTTATATATATGATATTTGTAATATATATAAATATATAAAATATATGAAAACTTGATGTGGGTACTCAAATGAAAGGTCTTGATGAGTGTAACATCGGGATGAGCTTATATCTTTAAAAATGTCAATAATTAAGAAATGACCTTGTATCTTGTGCACGATTGACATTTTCAAAGATATAAGCTCATCCCGATGTTACACTCATCAAGACCTTTCATTTGAGTACCCACATGGCACATTTTATATATTTTTCATATATACATATATATAATATATATAAATATATAAAATATATGAAAAATTGATGTGGGTACTCAAATGAAAGGTCTCGATGAGTGTAACATCGGGATGAGCTTATATCTTTAAAAATGTCAATAGTTCTTAAGATACAAGGTCATTTTTCAATTATGTATCTAGAGATAGAAAATTTTCGAATGTAGCCTAAATACTTATCATTATAAATTGACTATTGGTGAGAATGATATGAAACCTTGAAAAAGCACAAATTTAGGTCAAGACTTTTCCAACGATACCAAATGTAACCATAAAAATCCACTTTATCATATGAATACACTGGCCACAAAATTTTTCTTATTCTCTCAATAATATAGATAATAATAAAAATTTACTTACATAATATGGTTAGTCTTATCCTCTGGATTAATTTTTTTACATGGCAAACTAATAAATTGCGTTTCACTTTTTCTTTTTCTAACCGATTGAAAAAGTGTCAATGGTATACTATTAGAGACATCATCATTAGGATGTTGTTCTTCGGCAGTGACATTAATAGCTACAACATGTCTGTACATAACATCAGAAGGAAGATTATCTATTGATTTCTGTACATCTGGATCAGTAGTCAACGAATCATCGTCTGCTGCTACCTCTTCTTCACAGTCAGCATCACAGAACAGCCCGTTCTCACTAATCTGTAGATTAACATCAAACATCAAACATCAACACATTAATAATTAGCTCACCATAAATAATCCAACAATCCCAATAAATAAATAAATAAATAAATAAATTCATTAATAAATAATTAAATAAGTAAATTAATTAATTAATTTATGAAAATTAAGTTAGCCGACATCTGAAAATTTAAAGGATTTTTTTTCATTGAAAAAAATATTACAAAAAAATAAAAAAAAAAAAATTCATTTTTAAAAAACTTGAAAAACTGTAATTTTTAAAAAATATTTTTTGGTTCTAATTTAATTATTGAAAAAAAAAATAAAAAATGTCGGCTAACTTTTGTGTCATAATTAATTCATTAATAAATAAATAATAAGAAAGTTAGCGGACGGTTTTAATTTTTTGATTTTTTTTATTTATTAAATAAGAACTAAAAAATATTTTTAAAAAATTACACTTATAGTTTTTAAAGTTTTTGACAAATGAAATTTTTTATTTCTTTTTTTTGTAACATTTTTATCAATAAAAAAAATTATTAGTTTTTAGATATCGGCTAACTTAATTTTCAATGACACTAAAGTTAGCAGAAGTCTAAAAATTTTTCAATTTTTTCTATTAATTAAATTACAACTAAAATGATATTTGTAAAAAATTGCACTTATAGTTTTCCAAGTTTTTTACATGTGACAATTTTTTTTTTAATTGTTATAACTGAAATTTTTTCAATAAAAAATTTTCAAAGGTTTTGAAATGTCGGCTAACTTTATTTTCATAATAAATAAATAAATAAATAAATTAATAAATAAACAAATAAATAAATAAATAAAGCCAACATACTTCACTCTCTTCTTCACTAGTCTCCTCTCCGGCCTCCTCGGTTTCATCAAACTCCTCCGAGTCAGCCTTCGACAGCAAACAGCTGATTTCAGCATTACTGGGTCCAGGTACACCTTCAGCTTCAACAGGACTGGGACTGCTGCCGCTGGGTTTATCGCCCTCGATTGTTTTCGAAGATGATGAAAGTGACGTAGACGGTGACGAGGATGTTGACAATGAGGATGAGGGTTCTGACATTACTGTATCATAGGACCCGTGGTCTTCCTGAGAGAAATATAAATAATTATTTACTTTCTAGATTTTAATCACTTGCTCCAATTACTTGAAATTAAATATAATTATTAAAAAACTGACGTAATCATCTAAAATATGAATCAATTTAATACCTAACCTCAACACTGATTATCTCCAGCCCACTCCAGATAATATATTATATTATTTAAAATAATTATATTCATATTTACCAAGTATTTATTAAAAAAAAAATAAAATAATCTCTTTAAAAATAATTTTGTTATTTTTTTAAAGAGATTTTTCTTACCAAAAGCGTTTAAATATCACGAGTCCAGATTTTCTTAAGGCAAAACTCACTATATTTTTGGCAGCTACGGTACTTTAATTAACACGGTGATTATAATTTATATTTACATTTATATCTATATTTATCACGTATAATACATGATGGAAAATATATTTTTTTTCTTCCCCGTTTATTTAAACAGTCACTAACCGAGGTTAAAGTATCACGGGGGTGGTGTGGAAATTTATACGCACCAAGTATATACAAAAAAAATATACCTATACATACAAATTTATCTACACTACGTGGTATATATCTATCTATATATATATATATATTTTACTATACATATGTAGTGTATATAGATATATTTTTATGTATAAGAACGGAAAAATGAAGACGGCAGGTGCGAGGATTATCCGAAAGAGGCAAAGTGAGAGATACTTTGTATCAGTTAATTTTGTAATAAAATAAATAAAATAAATATTAATATATATTTAGTATGTACACAATATTTTAATATTTATTTTATTATTTATATTATGTGAAAATTTAAAGATTAGCTAATTATTTTTGTTTTACTAAAATGGAGTGAATATTTAAAAAAAATTTTTTAAATTGTTTAAAAAAAAAATAAATTGACCGGATAAGCAGCTGGTGGACGTTCCTCCGTGCTCCGAATCCAGAGATTGCTGGTTCGTGGAGCAACAGCAACCCAAACCAAAGATCCCTCTTTCTTATATCTTTCTTGTATATTATACCTGTAATGATATATACATATATGTAAGAAGAGAATTAGAGGAAAGAAGAGAGCTCAATAGGGCTGCAAGCTGCTGATCAGCTATATAACAATTCTTATTTTTTAACTTGTAGTTTTATTCTTTGTGTATATAATTTTTTTATGCGCATGCGGTATAAATATTGTTTTATTTACAGTGTTACCAATTTTAATATTTTTTTTATGTAAAAAAATTGATAATATTTATTAAAAATTAATCATTGTTTATTCTTGTCATAATTGTTGAAGAAATTTGGTGACAAAGTTAGCAGTCGCTTGACAATTTAAAAAATTTTTTTTTAATAAATAAATTTGCTCCGAAAAATTATTTCTAATAAATTCGTTTTTTTTTTTAATTTTTTAAATATCAATTTTTTTCCTCATTTTCTTTGACATAATTTATTTGTTAAAAAAATTCTTAAAATTATATAATATCTGCTAATTTAATTTTCATATTAAAGTTAGCAGTCTTGACAATTTTTTAATTTTTTATGACAAACAAATTTATAAAAATTGCATTTTTAATTTTTTTAAATTTCTACATGTCAATTTTTTTTTATACAATTTATTTGCTAAAAAAATTATTGAATTTTCAAAAAAATTTGTGGAGTAAAAATAATTGTCAGATGTATTTCTTTATTTAAATCAAAATTGCATTAAACAAATTATCAGCAAATTTACTTTGTTTATTATTTAAAAATAACTTCTTTGCAATTTGCTGACAAGACATAATTATTTGTGAAATTTATAAACATCTAAAGTAATAAATTGTTTTATTAACTGCTATCCAAATTTTTGTAAAAAAGTCCCTGAAAAGTAATTAAAATTTATTTAAATAATTAATTTAATTATTAAAAACTAAATTTACCATTTTTAAGACTTGTCATTTTTTCTGAGCAGTCTCTGTTTCTGTCAAAAATTTTATTTCTCAATTTCGAATTTCAGCCAGCCGCTCTCTGGATCCTCAAATCAGTACTAAAAAACAGTAGATAAAAAAGAAACATTCTATATTTCTTTAAAGAAGAGTTCTTCTCCATTAAACGCTGCCATCTGAACTAAAATATTTACACCAAACTCGGTATCTAAATAAATTTTACAAATAAATTGAATAAATAAAAAATTTCAAAATTAAATTCTAAAATAAAGTAAAAAAGTCAATGAAAAATGTAATACTTAATAATTACATTCATGAAATAAAATTTAAAATTTTAATAATGTCTTAATTTCAGAGATTAGTAAGCCGCAACTTAAAAATTCTCGTTGGAATAAATCTTTAGATTAAAATATGAGGATGCTAATCCAGAAAATCACAAATTTCAAAAATTTACATTGTTGCCAGTCTGGAAGTGCGGTTGCGGGTACGCTGCGTAACTTTACACATATATGATATCCTTTTCATATACTACATACGTGTAACTAACACCTTTTACGCCCTGTTGCCACGTCTGTTGCGGTACAGGTTTTAAAAGTAGCATTCTTATATCTGTTACAAACCCAAAGAATGAATTTTTCAGGTATAAAAAATTCTATTTAATTTTTTTTTATTTTTTTAACAAATTAATTCCAAAAAAAAAATATTTTTAAAAAATTTCCACACTAATTTTTTAAAATTTCTGGATTTAGAATTTTTTTATAAAAATAAAAAAAAATTGACACATTTCTTTAAAAAATACAATTTAATTTTTTTTTATTTTAATAACAAAATGAAATTTACAGTAATTTTTAAAAATTTCTAGATTAAAAATTTTTTATTAAAATATTGTTGTAAAAATAAAAAAAAATGACAGATTTATTTAAAAAATTAAATTGAATTTTTTTTTCTATTTTAATATCAAATTAATTACAAAATAAAATATTTTTAAAAATTTTTACAGTAATTTAAAAAAATTTCTAGATCTAGAATTTTTTTTTATTAAAATTTTGTTATAAAAATAAAAAAAATTTAATTGATATCTTTAAATTATAAAGATTAATTTTCTCTCCGATTTTTCCCAATAATTTTTCTTCTTTTAAAATAACTATATATAAAAAAAAAATATAGTTTAATATTCAAAATAATTTATTCAGTATTTCAAAATACTTATGCAAATATATTTTTTGTAATAAATATTTCGAAGTTTTATTTGCATTACTCCCGACGCTATTGATTATTTGATGCCACGGTGATAAAATAATAATTATACTAAATAAAAAATATCTGAATAAATTCTTCGTTATATATATTTTATATGTGAATGTAATGTAAATTTAGCTCAATGATGAATTAAGTATAAAATATATATAATAATATCATGCGATTTAGTATAAATTGGAGCAGAGTAGGATTTATTGTATGGGAAATAGGATAGCATGTGGGTGATCGTTTTTATCGGCTTCAATACTAAATCCTGAGGCATGTATGTACACATTTATATATATATATATATAAAAAATATATATGGACAATACATAGACCAAATTGTGCATTGAACATTGAGCTTGGGGTCTCACTGGCAATATAAATGATAATGTCTCAGTAGTCGCTACGCTTCAGTCCAGAAAGCATCTAGTCCGACCCTTAAAGTAAAAATCTTAATTACAACTTGTAATTTTTTTATTTTATATACTAATTAATTTTTTTTTATTCTTTAACAGATTAATAAATAGTTAAATAAATCCAGAGCAATGGCAGAATTTTTGGGAAAAAAATACAAGCTTTTTAGCAGCGACAAATTCGACGAAATGATGAAGGCGTTGGGTGAGTACCGGCTTTCTTTTTTTTTACAAAAAAAAAATAAAATAATAAAGTGTGAAATTTTAATTATTTTTCTTGTAATTTTTTATCTTTATAACAGGCGCTAAAAATTAGTTTTTGATAATTAACTTAGTAATTGACAAAAATAGAAGTGGCGTTTTCAATTATTACTTCAGACAAATCGTATTATTTATTCTAATCACTGTAATTACCCAGGTGTTTTAGTGATGACCGTGCAGGATTATAAATATATATAATTATGATTTTTTTTTATAACTTAGTAATTTATTTGCGAGGCATTAATTATCTATAATGGCTTATTTTATTTTTATATTTGTCTAGTTTGAATTTCTTATGCGGAAAAAAAATTTCGGTAAATTTATTATTATTATTATTTGTCATTTAATATGTTAAATTATTTCAAATGGATTTATTATTTTTATTTGTGATTTTAAATTACAAAAAACAATTATTTTTTTCAGGAAGTTAATCTGACAAATTTGCAATTTAAAAAATTATTAAAAGATTTTAATGATTTTTAAATGATAATTTTAGATTTTTTTTTTGATTGAAAATTTTTTTAGTTATATTTATTAATCTAAAAAAAAAAATTAATTTAATTTTTGTAATAAAAAAATTATTAAAAGATTTTTAAATGGTAATTTTAGATTTTTTGTTAATTTGATGAATTTTTAAGATTAAAAATTTTTCTAGTTATATTTATTAACTAGCTGTTACCCGCCCGCTCCACTGGGCACTATAGAATTGAATTTTGAGATCTAGACAATGAAATTCAATTGAAGTATTGTTTTGACTTGCACAGATTCCAAATTCTATCGGATTGGCCTGTACCTTTTATCCATGTCATCATTCTAGCGAATATCCATTGTAACTTACAATGTGCAATCACTATAACATTCACGATTTCAAGATTTGATTTTACGAAATCTCTCTTAAAATGAGTAGCCAAATTTCTTTTCCCTATCTCAAGTGTTTAGAAAATGTATTCATTTTAATCTGTTACATTCCCGCGATCCCGTAATAAGAACAATTCATCGGTTATGTGATCAGCAATAATAAAATGTATGCAAAATACTCAGTCCGTTGACTATATAGCTACATGTAAAGTTGAATTTTAGAAATCTTACAATGACTTTTTCGCCGCTGCCAAAGAGACGATTGTTGTAAGAAAATATAATTATCAATAAAAAAGGAAAATATTTTAATCCGTTGACCTTGGAGGCCATCCCTGTAATTACCTGTTTCTCTTGAGATTCTATGAAATTTTATATCTGTAGAAAATATATTTGAAGAATATGAATTTTTTGACAACTATCACTCCCGCACTCCTATGTGAGAGAGAAATTTCGTAAGATCCTATTCGAGATGATTTTTACATTATAAATAAAATATTCCAACAAAACTTCGAGCCCATGGAAACTATTGTTTTGAAAAGAGAGATTTTCATTGTTCACGCCTCCGCAGTCCCTTTAGGGGTTGGAATTTGATAAAATTCATTCTTAGCTGAACTTGACATACACAAAGACTCCCACCAAATTTGAAGTCTGTCGAAGTTACAGTTTGGAAATTAAAATTTTAGATTTTAACACCCACCCCCGCAATTTCTATCGGAAGTAAACTTTATTGAATTTCATTTTGAGATGATCTTTACAGGAGAAATAAAAGATTTCTACCAAATTTCGAGTTTTCAGAAGCTATATTTTGGAAATGAACATTTTTTATCGTCAACACCCACTCCCACGATCCTTATTGGAGGTGATTCGTTGTAAAATCCGTTTTTAGATCATTTCTATATCACACATAGAATATTCCTACTAAATTTGAAGTCTATAGGAGCTATAGCTTGGAAATTAAAAATTTTAATTGTTAATACCCATCCCCGCAAAACCCTGTGAGGTGAGCTATCGTAAAATTCGTTCCTATATTATTTCTACATCTCTTACAGAAAATTCCTACCCAATTTGGAGTCTATTGGAGCTATAGTTTAAAAACGGGAATTATTTATTATTAACGCCCCCGCAATACTCTTTGGGGTAGGATATCGTAAAATTCGTTTATAAATTATTTTTACATCACGTACAGAAATTTTATATAAAATTCCGAATCTGTAGGAGCTATAGCTTGAAAATTAAAAATTTTCATTATTAATACCCACCCCCGCAACCCCTTATGGGGGTGAGATATCGTAAAATTCGTTCATAGATTATTTCTACATCTCTTACAAAAGATTCCTACCAAATTTGGAGTCGATAGAAGGTATAGTTTAAAAATGGGAATTTTTCATTATTAAATTTTAATGATTTTTAAATGATAATTTTAGATTTTTTGTTAATTTGATGAATTTTTAAGATTAAAAATTTTTCTAGTTATTTTTATTAATTTATTAAAAAAATTTAATTTAATTTTTGATTTTTAAATTAATATTTTTGTAGTAAAAAAAATTATACTACTGCAGTGCAGGAAGAAAATATAATAATAATAATTTGCCGGAAAAATCAATAGTTAATTTACACGCGAAAAAATTAAATCAAGATTTGTTCGTATTTTACAGAAAAAAAAAATTAAAGATAAATTTGATATCATTGTTTACAATCGAGCAATTTTATTATTATTATCTATACATTTACAGTGAGCAAACATGATGTACGTAATAATAATAAAAATAATATTAGAGACTTAACTGAGCGGGAATCGCAAATGCTTGCTCATGACACGCTATCATTATGTGCGAAAATTGGCTACAGCTTATTATTAACGTTTCAACGTTTATTGCATGAATTACTTTTACTGTCCAGAATGTGTCTCATCCCCGGGATTTCTTAACAATTTATCGGCAATAAAGTTATCATCTATTATACAACAAAATGTTTTCGTTCAGAATCAAATATTATCATTACGAGTTTGAGATTTTACATAATTGTCATAACAAGAATCCGTTAGTTGTAAAATAATATCACCATCATTATTTTTATTTCATTTTAATAATTTGTGCAGTCACTAAAATATAATCGATTCTCCTTTGAAATTTTATCGCTAATTAAATACCTGAGTTATCGACAAAAGTACTTTCACTTGTACTTAATATTAACTAATTTGTTAACGTTATTTTATTCACAAAAAAAAAAACGTTTTATTGCGATAAAAAGAAAGTTAAGATAAATACTTGTACTCAGATAACTCGCTGATTGATAATTATTTTAGAGAGGTCAAAGTCCATACTCTAATCTCTTTTACTCCAGTTAAGAGTTCACTTTATTGATTTAACATTGAATATTTATTATAAGTATCTCTTATCACTTTCTTCTTCGTGAATTTTCATTGATATTTCTTCTTTAATAAATTAATTAATGTTATCTTTTTGAAATAATTGTTTGTCTAAAAGTTTTTTAATTTTATTATTGAATATTCAATCATTTTAATGATCAATATTTTTTTTTTGCAAAAAAAAAATTAATGGTTGTAAGTCAATAAAATTAAGTATTGAAATTTTCTTTTTATGTAATGAATAAATGAATCTATTATTAGGTTTGTTAAGAAATAATTAATGACTTGCAATTTGTTAATTTTTTACTGTCAATTAATTATTATTCAATTTATTAATGATAAAATTATTAGATAGTTGCAAAATTTATTATTTGTTTAACAAATAAACTAGCAACCTTACAGTCACTATGTGACTGCCGTGACTTGTGAACTATAAGTAAATGAAATTTTGCTTTATTAAACCATGAATTTCGTTAAATTGCACTGTAATTTTTTAACTGTTGACGTTTTTAAAAATATAAGCTCATCCCGATGTTACTCTCATCAAAAGATTTCATTTGAGGACCCACTTGCATTTTTGATATATTTTTCATATATACATATATATAATATATATAAATATATGAAAAATTGATGTGGGTACTCAAATGAAAGGTCTTGATGAGTGTAATCTCAGGATGAGCTTATATCTTTAAAAATGTCAATAGTTGACAAGATACAAGGTCATTTTTTTATTTTTAATATTTTTGACGATGTAAGCTCATTCCGATATTACACTCATCAAGAGCTTTCATTTGAGTACCCACATGCATTTTGATATATTTTTCATACATACATATATATAAATATATAAAATATATGAAAAATTGATGTGGGTACTCAAATGAAAGGTCTCGATGAGTGTAATGACGGGATGAGTTTGTATCTTTAAAAATGTCAGTTGTTCGCAAGATACAAAGTCATTTTTTAATTATTGATATTTTTAAAGATGTAAGCTCATCCCAATGTTATACTCATCTAGAGCTTTCATTTGAGTACCCACATGCATTTTGATATATTTTTCATACATACATATATATAAATATATAAAATATATGAAAAATTGATGTGGGTACTCAAATGAAAGGTCTTGATGAGTGTAACATCGGGATGAGTTTATATCTTTAAAAATGTCAGTTGTTCTCAAGATACAAGGTCATTTCTTAATTATGTATCTAAAGATAGAGCATTTTTTAACAAAATTTTTTTTATTCTCTCAATAATATAGATCATAAAAAAAAAATTTTTTTTAATTTTAAAAAGTAAGTTACAAAAAAAATTTTTCTCATTAATCAAAAAGATTTTTTCTTCTTAATAAATCTAATAAAAAAAATTAAATTAACAAATTAAAAGCTCAATTTACTTGACTTATAAAAAGTGACATTTAATCCTTGCCTCATAAATTAGACCATCAATAGAAGTCATATAAATATAATAACCAGTCTATAAATGAGTTGTATGCATAAACATATAATAAGATTTATTCTAAGATATGAATTTATAATTTTTAGGTGTCGGCCTGGTGACCCGCAAAATGGGAGCAAGTGTGAGCCCAGTTGTCGAGTTGACCAAAGACGACAACGACCTGTACACTTTGAAGACAACGAGTACATTCAAGACCTCTGAAGTTAAGTTCAAGCTCGGGGAGGAATTTGACGAAGAGACACCGGATGGTCGCAAAGTTAAGAGTGTCATAACTTTAGATGGCAATAAAATGAGTCACATTCAAAAGGGAGAAAAAGATACAGTCATTGAACGAGAGTTCACTCCTACGGAAATGACTGCTGTTAGTACCTATTAACCAACACTTTGTAGCGTTATTACCACACATGATTTTATTTTTTATTTTACACCACACCGTGCTATAAAATTAGACATCAGTTAGATCAGTTGTTGCTAAAAGAAGAAAAAAAATAATCCTTCAGACGGATATTCAATGACATTTAATTTATATACTTATTTAATTGTTATTATTAGGAAGTACTTGGCCCTTTAATTATACGGGTAATTTCTTATGATTGGTCAAAGTACCGGCTATAAAACTCTTTTTAAATCTATTATTGTTATAAAATATTATATTTCTAAAGTATCGCCTGAAAAAAAAGAAGGGATAACGACTCGCAATAAAGTAATGTAATGTCGTGTCGAGTTTTTTACTTGATGATAGTTGATTGAGCGAATTAGTCACCATGATTCAATTATTCACTTAATATTTATTTTAAGGACTCAATACTTTTATTATACAAGCTCAATACTCGTTAATTTTAGACCAAGTACCCTTGAAATTTAAATTGTCCATCTTACCCACAGACAGGCAGTCTGGAATTTTTTTTTCGGTAATTTAATTACACTCTTTAAGTACTAAAGAATTTTTTTATGATAAAATTCTTAGTTAAATATTTCTTATCATTTAATTTTAGCGTCAAGTTAATTAGTGTAGTAAAAAAAGATTAGATTAGAATCATTTAATTTTAGCGTCAAGTTAATTAGTGTAGTAAAAAAATATTAGATTAGAAAAAAAAGTTCATATTTTTCAGACGGTGATTTTATTTAGAAAAAATTTTTTTAGAAGTATTATATTGCATTGAAAAAAATTTGTAGAACATCGCGTGAGATTTATATCAATTTACTTGATATAAAAATAATGAACGTGAGACTAGAGTTTACATAAAATTTTTTATTTTTTTTATTTAAATAAAAATTGCTTGTAGTTTTTATTTATTATTTGTATTATTTTTTTCAGATCATGAAAGTAGACGACATCGTTTGTACTCGTGTCTACAAACTTCAAGCATAAGAAGCTAATTTTATTTCAGAAGCTATTGCACCAAGTGGATCCACTATCAATTTATCATTTTTTCTTCTTTTCTGCTATTATAATATTATTATTTTTTCTAATATAAATATGAAAATTTACAATTCTAATTATAAATAATGAATTTTTGGGAATATAAAGTACTTTGTATTCAATAAATATCTAAAATTAATTGATTTTGTGTAATTATTGATATTTTGTAATGAAAATTTCATTCTAATCCTTTAAAAAAAATATTTTAATAGAAAAAAAATAAATAATAATAACAACAATAATAATAAAATTGAAAATGAAAAAAGTAAAATTTAAATAATGGAATTTTATAAAAAAAGTGAATTTATTAAATAAAAACTAGTAACCTTGCAGTCACTATGTGACTTGTGAACTCTAAATAAATAAAATTTTTGATTAAAAAATGACTTTTGTTAAATTGCACTGTACTTTCTTAAATATTGATGTTTTTAAAGATATAAGCGCATCTCAATGTTACACTTATGAAGAGCTTTCATTTGAGTACCCACATGCATTTTTATATATTTTTCATATATACATATACTTACATATATATAAAACATATAAATATATGAAAAATTAATGTGGGTACTCAAATGAAAGGTCTCGATGAGTGTAATGTTATGGTGAGCTTATATCTTTAAAAATGTCAATAGTTCACTAGATACAAGGTCATTTATTAATTATTGACATTTTTGAAGATATAAGCTCATCCTGATGTTACACTCATCAAGAGCTTTCATTTGAGTAGCCACATGCACTTTTGATATATTTTTCATATATACATATATATAATATATACAAATATATAAAATATATGAAAAATTGATGTGGGTACTCAAATGAAAGGTCTCGATGAGTGTAATGTCAGGGTGAGCTTATATCTTTAAAAATATCAATAGTTGACAAGATACAAGGTCATTTTTTAATTATTGATGTTTTTGAAGATATAAGCTCATCCTGATGTTACACTTATGAAGAGCTTTCATTTGAGTACCCACATGCATTTTTGATATATTTTTTATATTTACATATATATAATATATACAAATATATAAAATATATGAAAAATTGATGTGGGTACTCAAATGAAAGGTCTCGATGAGTATAACATCGTAATGAGCTTATCTCTTTAAAAATGTCAGTAGTTCACGAGATACTAGGTCATTTCTTAATTATGTATCTAGAGATAGAGCATTTTTGAATCTACCCTAAATACTTATCATCATAAATTGACTATTGATGAGAATGATATGAAACCATGAAAAGGCACAAATTCAAGTCAAGACTTTTCCAACGATTTAACCATGAGAACCCATTTTATCATATAAATACACTGGCCACAAAATTTTACTTACTCTCTTAATAATATAGATTATCAAAATTTGAATTTTAACAAAATTATTTCTAAATTTTAATATAAAAATACTTGTCTTGTAAACATTTACTCACGTGAATATCACTTAGTAAAAATAAAATTTTAAATATTCCCCGCCATTTCTCATTTTAGGTTATGTCCAACAATAACAATTACTCTAACCTGTGCAATCACTAGTCTGTAAATAAACTACCTGGTAAGTAAATTTACAAGTTGATAAAAATGAAATAAAAACAATATTAAAAAAAATAATAAATTTTTCAGAAAATAAACTAATAAAAAAATGGAAGAAGCAGCAGATGCCGCGACAGTGACAACTAACAAAAAGAGCCTGATGATATTCGGCAGAGATGTTGCAAAAATCCCATGCTTTCGGAATAGCTGGTTGTACGGAATTTGCAGCGGGGTCGGATGTGGAATTCTGACGTTTATGTTCACCAGCAGAACGCCCCTAGCTTCTCACGTCTTCATGGGCTCGACTTTTGGAGTCACCCTGGTATATTTCTCGGTCTGTCGGTATCGATTTGCTAAGGATGACCTGATGGCTAAGCAGCTCAGAGTTTATATGAAAGACTCGATGGATCTCGAGGGTGCAGATCGGGAAGCTAAACTTAAACAAATAGAAGAACTCACGAAGACTCAGACTAAGTAGAAGTAATTTATAATTTAATTACGGGGTTGTAAAAAAAATACATGTACATAGGACTGTTTTGTAAAATATATGCTCAGTTTGACAGTAAGTGGTCTTGATATTTTTTTTTATTTTATTAAATTTATTTTTATTAATTCCAATCATCATTTTTTTTTTTTTTTTTTTCAGATAAATAATAATAATTATTTTAAAATTGAATTAAAAAAATCAATTTTTATGCTGATCAAATTAAAATATAAATTTAGAGTTAATAAAAAAAATATTTTAATAAATATTGTGTATTTTATAATTATCAATAAGTATTTTTTATTTTAAAATAATTTTTAAAATTTTTATAACAAATAAATTATTAAAAAAAATTTTTAATGAATTTATAAAAATAATTTATTTGTTATAAAAATTTTCAGTTAATTTTAATATTATGAATAATATTTTAGTTCATTAAAATAAGTGTAAATTTTTCTAATTAATAAATCAATAGAAATTTAATAATTTTTGAGATTTTATAAAAAATCAATTATAAATAATTTTTAAATATAAAATTTTTGATATAAAAATTAAAAAAAAATTATCAATTAATTTTCATATTATAGATTATATTTTAGTTCATTAAAATAAGTGTAAATTTTTCTAATTAATAAATCAATAGAAATTTAATAATCTTTGAGATTTTATAAAAAATCAATTATAAATCATTTTTAAATGTGAAATTTTTATCAAATTTAAAAAAAAATTATCAGTTAATTTTAGTTTTACAACAATTTTTTTAATTGAACAGCATAAAAAAATTAATAATTAATTTTTTTTTCCAAAAAAAATATCAATTATTATAAAATAAAAAATTTATTAAATAATTTCAAATCTAAAATAATTAAGCAAATTAAAAAACTTATCAGTTTCTTTTTACTAAAAAACCAGAAGCTTTTAGCCTCATTAACTCTATCCTTTTTTCGAATTAAAAAATCCCAACTTAGCATACTGACAACTCGATAAATTTCTTCTTCTTCTTCTTCTTCTTCTTCTTCTTCAAAAAAAAAAACAACTATAATTAATGAGTCTAAAAGCTTAAAATTTATAAATAAAAATAATCTGTGATAGTAATCAAAAAGACGAAAAAATGTGTTAATTTATAAAATTTCCAGTAAGGAAGAAAAAAAAAATAGTTTTTGAATGGAGACCGGTCGCCCTTCCTCGACAAATTTCATCATTATTATTATCACCATCAATTTAACTTCCACATAATATAATATCTGCTTACCTGTACAGGATCCCACTCACAATCACAATGAAATAAAATGCCTGTACAGGCACGAGCGTGGTTACGTGGACAACGTAAACGGACAAGTCTAAATTTAGAAGAGCTCCTTTTATTGCGGCCAACCTTGAACAGGGACTTCAAGTTTAACATTTCCACACTCAACATACCAACTGGTCTCCGGAGTCTGAATCAGAAAAGCCATAAACATCTGTACTAATATAATCCAAAATAACTCATCCATCGTATCCTGAACTGTCTACTGAAGCGTCATCTCATCTCATCAAATGAGAAGAAAAAGAGATGCTCCATTCACTCAGCACATCCCAAAGAGATTGCCTACATTATCTTATAATTTCTCAATATCAAGACATCACATATCACATAATAACACACGAAATCTACTCTCAGTCTTGCATTACTCTAATCGCCTTGAGCAAACAAATATCAAATAAATTGAATTTATGGAAAAATCTACCGGGCCTTCACATAAAATTAATATTCATCCGATCCAACACATTTCACACGAATTTTGTTTATAGTTTTCATTTTCATTACCATTATGCTACTTAATCGGTGCCCTTTGGATTATTTACTGCCGGCCCGATAGACTCTGTTTACAACTTTTTCAGTCTATAGAGCTAGAAGAAGAGAAGTACTTGTATAATGAAATCATCTCTTCTTACTGAAGAGATAGTACATTAAATTTATTTTTAACGTTTCTCAATAGAATTAACTAATAATTGAGAAATTATCAAGTCGAAGAATTTATTTACTTGTACTTGGTGTTAACAAATTATTTCGCTGAGAAGATCACGGTAAGGTTTAATTTGTTATTCATTATTTATGGGTTATTATTTTATGTTGTAAATTTTTTTAATTTATGGCTTGTAATAAAAATTTGTGTTGTGTAAAATTTTATTTTTAATTCAGAGAAAGGACTCATTTTTTTAAATAATTTTTTTTAGTTAAAAATATTTTTAAACTAGCAAAGAAGAAAAATTTTAATTATTTAATTTTTTTGTAAAAAATTATAATTCATTATTTTGTTTATGAGTTATTATTATTATTATTATTATTATTATTATTACGTTGTAAATTTTTATAATTTAATGTTTTATAAAAATTTTTAATTTTCTGAATTTTATCAAAAATTAAAAGAAAGAATTGATTATTTTAAATATTTAAAAAATTTTTAAATTAGCAAAGAAAAATAATAATTGATTAATTTATTTATAAAAAATTTTTTATAAATAAATAAATTAATAAAAAAAAAATAATAAATAATTTTTTTGACCGCCAGAAAAAAAATGATTGATTAAATAAAAAAACATATAATTGATTTTGAGTAAAAAATGATAACCCATAAAAAAAGCAATCAATCAATAGTCAAAACTAATCATAAGGCTAGATCGAAAATGGATTAGAAAAAAAGAAGATAAGTTAGCTGGTAATTAAAAGCGATTTAAAAATAAAAAATAAATAAAATCTGACACCTCAAGTGGTCATCTTAACGAGTGGAGGGCGAGCGACCAGGAGCTTGTATTGGGTCTACTCCAGACTCAGGTGAAAGTCCCTGTATCCGGAGAGAAATTTTCAGACAACGCTCTCGCGTAACAAGTAATTGAGGAGCGACATTGAGGAGCCTCCGAAGGTACACGTTAAACTTAATGGGTTCACCTTTAAAACACACACACTCTCGAGCATTCATTAACCGCCGAATTATAATTATGCCGCGAACCTTTTCAATAATCAATCTAACGCTCTTACTCTGAGTTTTTTCGGTCACACGCCCAGTAATTAGTGTAATTTTTTTTTTAATGAAAAAAAATTGTTTATTAAATCGTAATCATGCAATCCCTAATCGGTAATCGGTAATGTTTAGAAAGCAAAATTGATTTCGACGGTAAGAGTTATTAAAAATTATCTGTCAATGTCTTTTGTCGCTATTGCAAACAATGTATAAATAAAGATTATTTTTATTTTATTTATTAGCGATTATTATTTAATCATTTATTATTTATATTGAAGATACTTTTCCTTGACTTTTAAACTTTTGATTTTTTGTTACAATTACTTATTATTTTTTTATTCATATTATTCAATATTTTAAAATATTTAAAATTATTCTTTTTAAAAAACAATCGAAAAGTTTTTCTCAAGTGCATTTCTTCTTTTATCAAAAATTAATTTAATTTTTTTTTCTTCTCAGGTTTATTTATTGTTAAAATTTTTTTTTTTTATATTTAATTCAATTGAAAAATTTTTAATTATAAATTATTACTTAATAATCAAAGAAAAAAATTTTTTTCGTTGGAATAAAATTAAATGAAAATTAATCATTTCTTCTTTTATCAAAAATTAATTTTTTTTTTTTTCGGGTTTATTTACTTTTACTATTTTTTGGATTTTTGAATAGTTATTTATTAAAAAATTTTTAATAAATTATTACTTAAAAATCAATGAAAAAATTTTTTTTTGTTGCAATAAAATTAAATGAAAATTAATCATTTCTTGTTTTATCAAAAATTAATTGAATTTTTTTTTTTTCAGGTTTATTTATTATTACTATTTTTTGGTTTTTTTTTACTAAGTTTAATATTAAAAAATTTTTAATAAATTATTACTTAAAAATCAATTAAAAATTAATAATTTTTTCTTTTATAAAAAATTAATTGAATTTTTTTATTTTTCATAAAAATTTTTCTATTTTTTAATTATTTAGTTTAATTAAAAAAAAAATTTCAATAAATAATAAAACTTAAAAATCAATTATTACTTCTTTAACCAAGAATGAATTAAATTTTTTCTTCTAATTTAATTAATAATTTAATCAAAGATTTTTTTATAAAAAGTGACAGTAAAATTTATCAATAAATTAATTTTAAACAAAATTAAGTTATTTTTAATAATTTTTAGAAAGAATTTGAAACAATAACAAATTAAGTTTGAATAAAAAATGCGAATATAAATAAAAGAATGTTGAAAATCCAGAAAAACGAGTCCACTTGGATTGGTGATAAATTAGAGAAAAGAAAAACAATTAAATGATAAACTAAAATCTAAAATTATGGGTTGCAGCCTCTGGAGACTTATACGGGCCTGGACTAAAAATAATTTGATACGTTATTTGAAGAAGAACAACAACAACAACAACAACAACAACATGGACAAAATGGATGCAGAGATAATAAAATAAAATGGAAATACGCCCGCGCATAATTCAAAGCGGGTGATGTTTAAAAGTATCGGATAAGCGAGCAAAGAGGTGAACAAGGGCATCTGAGCATATAATAATAATCTGGTAATCTCCGTCTCTGACACAGCAGAGACTAAAAACCACACTAACACTAAATAAAATAAAATTCACAATCCACAATGTACATAACACTAGCATAGGGCGATTATTCGCGTAGCCGGCTGACGTCTCTCACGCACACGCATTCTTACACATCACACTCAATAATTTATACATTTATAAATAAAAATGTTGCAACCTAAGTAATAATGTAACGCCAAAGTGAACATCATATTTCATTCTTACAATATCTCCCATGGCCCCGGAATTCTTTCCATTATTTCATTACGCCCTTACCCATTACCATTACCATCATCGTAACCTTAAGTATCAACAATTATTTCATCATATATGAATTTACTGAATTATCATCTTTCAATTTTTTTGGGCTGTTTTAATTTTATGGGTTTTTAAAAAACTTACATTTTTAAAGTTAATTATTTTACAATTGAAATTTATTTTTATTATTTGGATAAAATTGATTATTGGATGTTTTATTTCAGTTTAGGTGTTTATTATCCTGTCAAAGTGATGTTTGCATGATAATTAATGATGGATCATTTTATGAAGAAAATCTTAATTGGTAATTTGAATGAAAAATTAATTTTTAAAGTCTCATTTAAATAGTTTAGTTTGTTTTGATAAATTATTATATTTTCACCTGTCTTTTATAAAAAATATTAAATTTAAATCAAAACATTATTGTGTTTAAATTTTTTTAAATAATTTTTAATTAAAATTTTTGTAAAAAAAGTATTTTTGAGCTTTGTTATAATTTTAAAATGGATAAAAAAATTATTAAGAGCTTTTAAATGAATGGAATTAACTTTTCATGAATTTTTCTCATTAAAATCATCTTAAATTTACTATTTTTTTCATTATCAAACGATTACATGGAAAAAAATTTTATGGATCATTAAAATAAGAATTGTTAATAAATTTGTGATTTATAAAAATTTAATGTTTATTTTTTTTTAGTTTTAGTTTTTACCAAAAATGGGAATTATAAAAACCTTGAATCAATTTTTAATTGATAATTCTTTTTATCAATTTTTAATAATTTATAATTAATAAAATTTTGGTGAAATTATTTTATTAACAAAAATGATCACAAGTTCTTATTTTTTATTATAAAAAAAAAAAAATAACTAATTTTTTAATAAAACCACAATTTTTTTTTATTTTTATCTCAGCAAAAAAATAGTCACTAATTTTTCAAATTAATTCCTTAAAAAATTCAAAGCCAAACTTTAATTTTAAAACATTTCTCTTTACAAAATGAAAATTTTCAAAATAAAAAACAATTATTAAATTCTCCCTCAACAAAAAAAAAAGCTACACTTTATCACAAGTTTTTTATTTTTTATTTTTTATTATAAAAAAATATTTCTAATTTCTCAATAAAATTTTAATAAATCTCAAAATTGATCATCAAAATAAGAATTAATCATAAATATATTTATGATTTATCAAAATAAAATTTTTTTCAAGTTTTTAATCACCAAAAATTAGTAATAAAAAAAACTTGTATCAACTTTTGATCTTATGATTGATAATTAAAAAAAAAAAAATATAAATATTCATGTAAAAGACATAAAAAATAAGAATTTAATTACTGTTTAAAATATTTAACGAACATCAATTTCAACAGATAATAAGTGTGATAATGATGTTAATAACATAAATAATAAAGGTCGAGTAAGAGCAAGAGCAATAAAGTTTTTTAGCCTCACATACTTGACATAGCAGAAGAAATAAAATAAAATATTTGGGGAATGAATTTTTTTGAAGAACTGTGAATAACTAAGTCCAATAAAATGAAATGCGTCATAAGGACGTCATTGCGGATTCGAACGGAATGGATCGGGAACCTGGCATGTGACTGAATACTGAATATGAATGTTATTAATATAATATAACGAAAGAAGCCCACCTTCAGTGTATCCGGATTCTACCGATGATCTCCGATCCGAT